ACCTATTTGGTTAGTGCACTTTATGTGGCACTCGCTATTAGAGGCTTCATTTTGATTGATAGCAAGGTTGGTATTCTTGTCCACACACACATCTATGCTACATGCACTGATAGCCCTATAGTTTTTAAATTGCCGGGGACAGGGTTGTTCCGTATCAATTAACTCCCTGTCCCCGCTGTTTAGTTTAAATTTCCCTCCAGAAAATCTGTGAATTTATAGCCGAGTAACTCAGTCCCTTTTTTTGATGGATGCAAACCATCTCTTTTGTACATCTTTTGATTGGACCAGCTACTGACATCGTGACTAATATATCCAAAGCCTTCCCCTTTACACCATTCCTTTAGCCACATATTGAATTGTGCTATGCGCTGGCCTTTTCCGTTTTGCTCCTTATACACTGGTAAAACCTCTGAGAAAGTAAGCCTACAGCTTATTCTGCTAAGTTCCTTCCCCAAGCTCTGGAAATCATTCTGCACAGAGAGTACATCTTTTTGGGACAGATCATTAGTGCCAAGATGTACAATAGCCTCCACATCACAGTCCTTGCTGCCATTCTTGATTATTTTAGAAATACGCTTCTTGTCCCTACTGGCAGTAGCACCTGGAAGACACCTGACCTCTTTCAAAGCCTCTGTGTCCTTTCCTAAATTTTCATCCCTTATAATTGAATCACCTACCAGAAGGTAGCTTCTCTTTTTGGGAGCCTTTCTATTCTTGCATGACTGTTGTGCAATACCTGATTCACACTTCTCCCTGTCAAAATCTAGTTCTTCATCTCAGACCACAATCCCCTGCTTATTTGAGTTATCTTCACAAATACCTTTACCAGTCTCCTTAATGTCCCTATTAAGGTCAGCAAGGGCACTGTAGCTGTTGTGCAGGGACACAGAGAAAGCTTTGTGTTTATGGTTCACAGCTCTCACCCTGCCAGATTCCACGGTTGTCCACACTGCCCTTTTCCTGCAGGATCTTTGTGGTAAAGGGGGCTGATAGCAGGGAGGCTTACTAGAGTAGAGGGGCTGAACTGGACACCTAATTTCTGCCCGAAGAGCACGGATTACAGACCCTAGGTAAATGATCTGTCCTTGTAGGCTAGTGATTTGTTTACAGATAGGACAGTTTCCAAGTTTGAAAAGGGTACTGCGAAAGACTGTTGCAAAGCAGGTGTTGCACTGAACTAAGCCGGACATCTTAGATACAGGGGATGTTAGACACACTTGCCCTGAATGTACTGCTACTGTTTGTGATTTTTAGTTATATAGTTATATAAGTTAGAATGGGGTTTAAATAGAGTATAATACCCTATAAATATAATGGAGATCCAATCAGGGCCTTGCTACTTTCCTGGTGGATTCTCCCAAAACTTACAGTTTAAGCAGCAGCTGGTGGAATGTAGCACGTTCCAGCAACCCGATCAGAGTTGGAATGGGGTTTAAATAGAGTATAATACCCTATAAATACAATGAAATCTCCCAAAGACTACTGTTCTTTTCATTATGAAGAGGAGTTTTACAACTAGAGTTGAGCAAAGACACCTCTGTATTATTTTTCAGACAGTCCTTGTTTGATTTGAGATTTCATAATTATACAATGTGCAATCATATAATCCAACAATAGAAGAGAATATTTGTAACTAAGGTTTGAACTGTGTAGTCCTTGATGCTCTCTGAGCTTGGTTGTTTTTGCAGATTTTTCATTATCAAATAGCTGACATCATCATCAATGCGCTGTGATGGGAATGAGCTACAATATATTGATCCTTGATGAAATAAGTTGAATTGTATTTATTAAGGAGAACTACCAAGCCTTAGAGCTGATCCAAGACAGTTTGTACAAGCATAAAGATAACAACCATCCCCCGTAAATAAAAGACAGTAAAATAATATATTGATTTCAGAGCAATTCCTGAAAATAATTCACCGTAATGTCCATATTGCTTTCTTGGCAACAATATAGAAATTATTTGTCTTTGGTTTTTCTTCCAGAATATTTTTTTCAACTTTCCAATTTGTCCATAATGCTGGGATTTTCTGGTGTTCTGTCATATAAATATTAACCAAGTCTGAACCTGCTTAACTTTTTTGTGATTACTATGGTCAAATAAGGACTATAGTTTTCCTACAGTACACCGCTGCTGCCCCCTTCCAGATCAGAATCTTATGATCTTCACTTACAACAAAAGACAGATTAAGGACTAATGGACTTTATGTTTTCTTCTTCCCTAAATAGTGGACATAATCTACTTTGAAAACATCTGATGAAATGACCTGTAGCTTGCAAAATGTATGCCTTTTAATAATATTCATGAATGAAAAAAAATATGCTAGCAGATTCCTGGTGGGTTTTTTTTTTTTCCATTATAGAGTCTGCCTTAGTTTTTATCAAGCCTATCACTCATTCATGTGTTCAGCCTAGATGGAGGCTGACCATGAGATGCAAATCTTGTGGCTGAAACATCTTGTCAAATCTTTAAGCTTTTGGCATCTTCCGTAACCTGTGCTTTTCATAATGTTTTGCCTGATGAATTCGGAGAAAGTAAAAAAGTTTCATACTATTTTGTGCCTCTTTAATTGTTCCCTGCTAAATGGTAAATGGTATTATGATTTATTACAACTGGATGCACAGTCAGCTAGATATTTAGACTAGATTAGCATTATTTTTCTGGTCTTCCTATTCAGGGCTTTTAGTTCTACTTGAGTGCAGCCCACTATAGTATCTATGTATTGCCAAGCTGTGTATCTAATGACTGGAATTGTCCAGGTATTAATTGCCTTGGTTGTATTTCTTCTACTGAATTTGGACTTTAAAATCTTATTCACTCTCGTGATGCATTCAGTACTAACATTCCTCTTGACTTCTTTGCGCTTGATGTTTTCAGCTTGAAAGATGCCCACATATTTGTAGTGATCTTCATCCAAGCAGTATATGAGTTTAAGTGCTAATGCTATTGCCCTTCTTCTTCTTCTTCTTCTTCTTCTTCTTCTTCTTCTTCTTCTTCTTCTTCTTCTTCTTCTTCTTCTTCTTCTTCTTCTTCTTCTTCTTCTTCTTCTTCTTCTTCTTCTTCTTCTTCTTCTTCTTCTTCTTCTTCTTCTTCTTCTTTTCTTCTTCTTCTTCTTCTTCTTCTTCTTCTTCTTCTTCTTCTTCTTCTTCTTCTTCTTCTTCTTCTTCTTCTTCTTCTTCTTCTTCTTCCATTGTTTTGATGATTTCCCTTGGCTTTCCCAGGTGGCTTATCACCTCCTCATTTCTGATCTTGTCAACCCAGCTTATAAGTAACAGCTGCCTATAAATCAACATTTCAAATGATTCTAGTCTCTTCAGGTGGCCTTCTGTCAGAGACCAATTCTCTACTCCATAGAGCAGGATAGAAAAAAAAATATAACATCTGACAAGCCTGTCTTTCAATCTTAGGCTTATGTCGTGACTGCAGAAGACCTTTTTCATTTTGAAGAATGCTGTTCGAGCTTTCTCTATCCTTGTCTTTACTTCAGTGATCATGTCCCAGCTTTCATGTCAATTAGAACCGAGGTGTGTGATCCTTTCAACTTTTTCTAATGGTATTCCTTCTGAATTTATTTATTAACAGGTTGTTTGCTGATGACCATGATCTTGGTTTTTGAGGTGTTAAGCTTCAAGCTTTGACTCTGTTGATGAGGCAAGCAGAACTGTATCGTCAGCATATCTTAAATTGCTGAACCAAACACCGTTTACTTTGATGCCAGCATCGATGTTCTCTAGTGCCTCGTAGAAGATTGACTCAGAGTAGATATTAAATAACAGTGGAGACAGAATATATCCCTGTCTGATCCCTCTTCATATTTCTGCATCATCTGAGTATTTTTGGCCTAGTCTCACATTTGCTACCTGATGCCAATATAGATTCTTTATGATTTGGATGTCTTTGTCATCTAGTCCCCCTTGTTTCAGGATTTCTTATAGTTTGCTGTTTCTTATTTTATCAAATGCTTTTTCAAAATCAATGAAGCACATATAAACACTGTGATTGACATCTCTACAACGCTGTACAATAATTTGAATGCTGAATAGCGCATCTCATGTACCAAGATTGTTTCTGAAACCAAATTGTGTTTTACCTAGACACTCCTCAATTTTGTTTTATATTCTTGTGTGAATTATTCTTAGGAATATTTTCAGAGCATGACTCATTAAGCTTATTGTTCTGTATTTGGTACACTTCTTTGCCTTTATTTTTTGGAGATTGTCACAAAGGTTGATTTTAGCCAATCATTTGGTATCTTTCCTGTTTCATATATTCAACTGAAGAGCTACAGTAAAAAATTCTTCCTATTGTCTTCCAGCAATTTTAAAATTTCTACTGGGATATCATCTGGTCCTGTGGCTTTTCTTGTTTTTGCTATTTTTATTGCATATTCAATCTCCTCCATAGTGATGTTTGGTCCAGTTGTTATACTTCCCATATCTATATCATCCCTAGTGTCCTCAAAAAGTTCTTCAATATATTCCTTCCATCTTTTTAGTTTTTCGTCCTCATCTAAGATAATTAAAAAACCCTCTTTCCTCAGTGCCAGTGAATAGCCAACATCTTCTATTGCATTTTAGCACAGCCATTCATGGCATCTGCTGACTGAGGCAGCTACCTTACTTTGCCTGATAATTCAGCTGTTCAGGTTCTACATCTGTCCCCGATATTATTATTAGAGAACTGTCTGGCCTTGTTATGGGAATAAACAGGTGGGAAAAATGCAGTTGAATTTGTGTTTCAGTTCAGCCAAGAATATCCATCCTTGATACATTCTTAAATCATAGGACTTGGGAAATAAATAGCTCCTTTGCACAGACTCTCAGATGGAATTGTTTTGGCTCTAAGAAATAAATATCTGCATATTTGAGTCAGAAAATAAAATGGTATGAACAATGGAAGATTTTGGAAACCTGGCTCCATTATAACTCTTCTCTGAGCAAAGTTCAGTGAGAATTTATAATTTACCAATCAGGGTAGGGAGGTCTGCCCTCTATCGTTGCTGTCTCTACTTGATAAGTGTTGCCTTATCTGTTCAAAGTTCTAACTCCAGAGGCTTTAATTCTTTCCCTGGTGAGTTAGTTGTCCAACTGCTGGGCTAGAGTGTGAAACTAACCTAAGAAACTCTCAGAGCCATCATGGAAATGAACACTGGAGGCATGAGGCAAAGAAGCTCTCGGGAGCAGACCAGGGGAGAAGAGGAAACACAATTACTCAATGGTAAGGAGGCATTTCAGGGAACGGATGATATATTTTGTTGCACAAATGGAAGGAAATCTTTGCTACAGATAAATTATCTGGGGATTTTCAATTGGTCTTGGAATTAGGCAGTACTATGCAGAGATTAGCATTTTGGGAGCTGCAGCAAAAAGCTTTATATTACTTTACTAGAGAGATAAGTGGTGTCCCCCAAATGCTTTGGAGTTCAATCCCAAGAAGCTCCTACCATTCTGAACAACTGTGAAAAGACTGCAGAACTTGTGTAAAAGGAATAGTGTATGTTGTATGCATTCTCCTTAATACAAATATTCACAAAGTAATTGTAGGGATGGGAAGGATTTTGGAATAGGAGATGATCAAATGTACGTTAAAGAAAGAGGGAAATAGGGGGAAGTTGTTTGAATGGATTCTACAGAAAGGATGGCAGATGCAAACTTTAATCATTTGCAGATGTGATGGAATGTAGTAAGGAGCTGGATTCACAGAAGGGAGGGGTGCATTCACAAAGGAGTAAGGAGATAGTTCTATCCAGATGTTATGTGTGAGAGAAGAGGCTGAAGACAGCCCCTCACTAATAGTGTATTGTAGATGCAGACAATATAGTCTTCAGTCTGGCAAGATTCTCTTTCTATAGGTCTGAAACAATAAAGAACTCAGCTGAGAAGAATTACTGCACGTCATTCTTGGTTTGGGGCCTGCTAGCAAGGAGGCAAATATCAGATAATGGTTGATTCACACACATCAATAAGAAATAACATGAAAAAGGGCCGATGCGGCTGCCATGGACATCTGGAAGGAGAGCTCCATCTTCCACATCCAGTTTTGCTTTGCTGGGAGACCCTGTAAAGGGTCAAAAGTCGTCCTGTAGGGGCAACCAGCAAGGAGGGGATCCCCACTTGATTGTGGGAGGGCAGTAGCCCTTCCACTTGATCTGGGGCAGCCCTCCAAACTGGCAGACAAAAGATCGGCCATAGCAATATGGCTCGTCACTAGGCTGCAGACAGCCAAAGTCACACTTACCACCAGGCAATTATGAAGCAGCGCAGATGAGACTGGGTGAGATTTACCTCTCTTAAATCCTAACTATCTTTTCTACCTGCATAAGCTGCTTAAAGTACTTTTCTCCCTGTGGAGGGGGAAGGGAGATTTTATCTCTCCCTCTAGAAACAGTGGCGACTGACTATCCAGGGGAGTTCAAAATGTTGCAAGAATAACTTGATCCTAACTGGAATTCTAGTTTTTAAAGTTTGTGTACTAAAAGATTTTCTATTTTTACTGAGGATCTGAGTTTTTACTTACAAAAAAGAAGCAAAACTGAAAAGATTATAAAAACTTTGGATTTAAAAGAAAATTTTAAATGTTAGGGGCGACATCTTGTGGCTAAACCTGATACTACAATTTGTTATTGCTTAAAAGAGACTTGGCCAGTAGCCCAGACAATAGATAAGATTTATGTAAGCTTGAGATCAGCTGTGAGAAGCCCAGCTGTGTTCCATATTCAGTGACAAATATTTTTTTTGTATTCTCTGATTGTAAAGCTTTTAACCTAATACACTACTAAGAGAATGTGGATGAAGATCAGGAACAGATTCTCTCTATGCTGAAAGCAATTCATCAAACTATTCTTACAGCTATTGATGAAATAAGAGGTTATAGAAAAGAACAATATGTCAATCCAGATATACGAACTCAAAATTTTGATTACAACTAAAAAATTAACTACACAGAATATAACAGAAAAAGTGGAACAATTAAATATTATGACAGAAGATTCAACTGATCAACAAATACAGTCAATGGAAAACCCATTGGGGGTTTTATCAGGTTTTACCCAAAGGGACTGATAATATGGAAAAATGAAAAGACTTTCTACATAAATCAGAAGGAACCTGAGGATCAAGAAGAACAGACTGAAGAGAAGATAAACAGTTCAGGAAAAGTACGTAGAGATGGAAAAATAGAGAGATGATTTGTTAGTCCTCTCAAAAAAATGGTGACCGGATGGTTTTTTCTACATGAAACAATCTACATAACAACACAGGGAGATTTGTTTGATGAGTCAACAGTACGGACATGGAAGATGATTTGACAAAGAAAGAAAGCCAGAATAAGACCAAAGAAAATTGGGGTTTTTGACTCATTTGTGAGAATGAAAATAGAATATACTCAAATAGATAAGATGTGTACTTTGAATACTAGATATTGTTATGAGTTGAGAAAAGAAAACTTTGGTAATTTAAAACTTAGGAGTATAAATATTAACAGTTAAATTTGAACATTGATTTTGGTCACTATATTTAAGATATTTGGAAATTACTAGAAAATAAGAATATTATATTATATTATTAATTAGTTGATGTAAGATGGTGAGAACTCAAATAGATGTGTATCCTGAACATTAGATTTTGTGATGAATTGTGATAAAGGGAATTGGGGCTATTTAAAACTTGGAAATTCTAAATATTAAATGTTAAATTTAAATATTAATGGAAAACTAAAAATTGGGAAAAATTAACCAGAACATTGATTGTCTAAAAAGACTGAATGTTAAAACAACTAGGAGAAGGTGAGAATTATAGAGAAAGTAAAATATAAAGGTAGTGATGTTTATCAACAGAACTTGATTAAAAAGTGTTTTTTAGATTTTTATACAAAATTATATGCTAGTGATAATATACAGGTTTTAGATGTAGAGAAGTATTTACAATCAGTACACTTTCCTAAACTTTCTAATGAACAACAAAACGTTATGAATTGTTTAATTACTTCAGAGGAAATTGGTTTTGCTATTAAACAGTTAAAGATTGGAAAGGCTCCTGGTACAGATGGATTAACGGCTAAGTATTATAAAATGTTATTTCAAGAAATGATAGAGCCATTAAAAGAACTTTTTAATAGTATTTTGTTGGGAGCTTCGATCCCTCCTTCATGGAGAAGGGCTTTTATATCATTGATTCTGAAGGAGGATCAAGATCTCACTGAACCTAAAAATTATAGACCTATATCTCTTTTAAATGTAGATTATAAGATTTGGCAAATAGATTAATGCAGGTTATGAAGGATTTGATTCATAGCGATCAGTCAGGATTTATAACAGGAAGATATATGAAATATAACACAAGACAAATTATCAATTTAATTGAGTATTTGGATAAGAATAATCAGATTCCTGTGGCTTTTATATTTTTGGATGCTGAGAAAGCTTTTGATCAATTAGATTGGCAATTTTTATTCTCATTAATAGAGAAAATGAATTTTGGAGACAAGTTCTTACAAGCTCTCAAGGCTATATTTCAGCAGCAGTCTGCTCAAATTATTATTAATGGGGGATTGACAGAGACTTTTAATATTGAAAAGGGTACAAGACAAGGTTGTCCATTATCTCCTTTGTTATTTGTTTCAACAATGGAGATTTTGTTAATTCAGATTCGAGAGTCTACATTACTTAAGGGAATAAAAATAAATAAGAATGAATATAGATTGAGAGCTTTTGCAGATGATTTGGTAACTTTACAACAACCAACTCAATTGGTTAGTCATTTATTGGGATTTATAACTCAATATGGGAAAGTTTCTGGTTTTAAAGTAAATAACAATAAGACTAAGATATTATCTAAGAATATGATTGAGAAGGAAAATGAAACTTTAGTTAGACTTACAGGTTTTCAGATAGTGAAGAAGGTTAAATATTTGGGAATATTTATAACTGCTTCTAATGGAAAATTATATAAGAATAATTATGAAGTATTATGGACAAAAGTACAAAAGGATTTAAATGATTGGAAAAAATTGCAATTGTCGTTGTTGGGGAGAATTTCAGCTGTTAAAATGAATGTTCTACCAAAGTTTCTTTTTTTGTTTCAAATGATACCCATTTTAAAAAAAGATGCTAATTTGGATGAGTGGCAGAAGGGTATCAATAAATTTATATGGGCTGGGAAGAAACCAAGGGTGAAGTTTAAGATTTTGCAAGATGCTCGAGAAAGAGGAGGGCTTAAAGCACCTAATTTGAAATTATATTATGATGCAGCCGCATTAACTTTGATAAGTGATTGGCTTAATTTAACAAACAAAAATATTCTCTTTCTTGAAGGGTGGGATTTATTATAAGGTTGGCATGCATATTTAATTTTTAATAAGAAAGTTGATCGGGCTTTTAAATCGCACATTTTAAGAAGTGCCCTACTTCGAGTCTGGAAGAAGTATTATTATAGGTATTTGGCTCTGAGAAATGGGGGGGTAGGGGGGTGGGGATGGGTGGGTTATTTTGTTAATTATTAATAAAAACTTTTAAATAAAAAAACCAACTAGGATACGTATAAACTAAAAATTATTATAAATGTAAGATAGTTATTTTTTATTTAATTGATATAAGAATTGTATTAATTTAAATATGAGACAGTAAATACCAAGGGGAAAAGAGAGGAAACATTTAATGTAATAGTTTGAGATCTATACTAAAGATATTTGTATGTTATTGAATTATTGACCAACTCAGCCACCACGTTGCTTTTCAAATATTAAATGTAAAACTAGAAAATCAATAAAATTTTCTTTTAAAAAAAAGAAATAACATGGAAAATTATGACAAAAAAGATCAAGAGTTATGCATGAAGAGCCTTTAATTTTATTTTTGTCCGGAAATGCTAACGTTCAGCCTTCAAAGACAAAACAATTCAAGCATTTAGTTGAAAAGAAACAAGAAACATCTTAATTAGTTAACCAGTTACAAAGAAAACATTCAAAAAATTTCATCAGCTCCTTTTTAATTGCTTTTAGAACCTGTTTATTGGTGTATATTTTCTTGGCTCCTTTCTAAAAAGGTCACTCAGAAATGACACATTTATATGCTTTACATTGCATTTGAGAGAAATCGGGTAAGATATTTCCCAGTCAGCAAATACAGTTTCCTATCATTCGTCTTTGATTTAAGTTAGCTTTTTGCTCCAAGTGCCTTTTTATGTTAGTTTATATTTTCAGGTAGTCCTCAATGTACGACCACAATTGAACCCAAACTTTCCATTGCTAAGCGAAACAGTTGTTAAGTGAGTTTTGCCCCATTTTATGACTTTTTTTGCCAGTGCTAAGTGAATCACTGCAGCTGTTAGTAACACTGTTGTTTAGCGAATCTGGCTTCCCCATTGACTTTGCTCGTAAGAGGGTCACAAAAGAGGATCTCATGACCCTGATACACCGTCATAAATACATGTCAGTTGCTAAACATCCGAATTTTAATCCTGTGACCATGGGGATGCTGAAATGGTCGTAAGTGTGAAAAACGGTCACAGGTCACATTTTATTCAGTCCTTCAGTAACTTCAAACAGTCACTAAATGAATGGTTGTAAGTTGAAGACTACCTGTACTAAACTCTAATAAATCTATCGGAGGTACTGGCAGTATTCCTTCCTTCATATCTACTAGAATGATATGATAATGTTATAGGCTGTTTTACTTGGTAATTAAGCAAAATAGAATTCTAAGATAAACAGCCTTCCAGATCTGCTGGTTAAAAGATGTTACTATAGTCTGGAAATCTGCTTTAAGAAAAGGCTACAAAACTGAATAAAACATGCCATGTAAAATATTATGGAAGCCTGGTGCAGATAGTTTTGGACCTGCTTTATCCATCCAAAGGAAAGAGAATGCGAAGAGTGGAGAAACAAGTGCTTGAAATTCAGAGGTGGTAATTTATAAACAAAAAAAAAACCTCTCTACAATGAGAAGATTTCTAATCCAAACAATAAACTGACCTCCTCCATTTGCCCAATGTCAAATCATGTTTTTAAAGTGAAGCTGTTTCTAATTCTCTAGGAGAGGATGAACACCTGGAGAATGTCATTGCCCACAGCCAATGGAAGAGACACCTGGAGGTAATAATAGATATTATAATAGGTAATAATAAAAGCCAATGCTAGCACTGGAGAAACAAATATTCCATCCTAAATGATGAATAGTCAAGGATGATTAAAATGGCTGATTCTGTGTCTCCAGGGCCACATGATCTCTATCCTTGTCATAGAGGAGCAGGTCCTGGAGATCTACTTGGCCTTCTGGGCAAGGGAGCTTCTGTAATAGATCAAGGAAGGGAAACAACTGGTTAAGTTTAGAACCAGCTCATTTGCGCAATCTGATAGGTTCAGGCAGTAACTCAGTTGAGAGACAGCTGCTGGTTTTTCTCTTGGGTCTTAGTTTTTTAAAGTTTGCAGCCTTCTCCAAGAATAGTTCAGGGTGTATAGGGAGGGTTTAGCAATGGCATAGTAGAAATGGGGCTTTCCCTAAAGCTAATGCCTCAAGATGTATAAAATCACCTTGGCTTTCTCACCCATTGCCTTGGCGGCTATTTGGGTGGGAGGAGACCACTTCAGCCCAGCTTTGGGGAAAGCTCTAATTCTACTAGGCCACTGCTAAACCCTCCCTTCTCCGTAGTCTGGACATTATCTAACACCAATGCAGCAATGCTGTTTCAATCATGGGCTGGAGTATGATAAAGAGAGAAAAAAAAATGTTGTCTAAATGCAGCATGGGAAAGGTTTTACATCAGGCATTGGAAGAAGAGAGCATTGGAAGCAGCAAGTGCGTTGGACACTCTGAATAGGAGACTGTATGAAACAATGTCAAAGAACACATTCCAGATAATGCCAATTTAGCCACAAGGACAAGGGAAAATAACCCTGGGAGATATACAGATATACCAAGCCAACCAACATGCCCATCACCTAAATACATTCTAGGAACCTATCATGACAGACCTGGGCATCATTAAATTCTCTCTGTTTTGTTGATAGGTAATGAAGGTGAATGTCCTGGAACAGGTACACAATCAGCTGAGTGATCTCTTGGACAAGACCTTGGAAGAAGCAGCTCATTCCATACCCTGGCATTTGAGGGTGGCCCCAGCAAAGAAGCAAAGCAGGTGAAAGAGGTTCCTCGCAATTGATTTTAGAACAGGGATGGAAAAAATAGAGTCATCCAGAAATTTTATTGGCCTATAACAGGGGAGTCAAACTGCCGGCCGGATGTGTCATCCTAAAACTGCACCCACCCCATTGCCGGCAATGGAAAAAAAGTTGCAATACGTCGTGACATGTCATGTGATGTTGCGAGTTTGACACCTGGCCTATAATTTCCAGTAGGTCCTGCTGATATAGCCATTAAGATGGATGCTGGGAGTTGTAGTTCCAGACCATTTAGAGGAATAAATGACCAAACCTTGATTTCATCACAGAACATACCACGCAGTGTGAATGGCAATGCTTTTATTTAGCTGGGCCAGAAACCTCTCTATATGTTTCTTTATCTTTGCAGGCAGCAGATAGTTTTCAGCTAATTATATGACAATAATTGCCAATAAAAACAAAACTACCTTTGAGAAACCAATCCTCACTCCAGGAGCTTGGCTAAACAAACAAGTCTTAAGTAAATTTTCCAGAAGACAGTCAAAGAAAAAATGGACAAAAGACTGTCCAGTGCTTTAGGGGAAAAAGTAGCAGCCTTCCTTTTAAAAAAAAAGTTGACAAAAGGAAATATATTCTGCTCCTAAGAACAAGCAGGCTACATTATACAAATACATGAAAAGTTACCATTAGGATTTCAATCATTCCTTAGTACTTCTGGCCCTGCTTCTGATTGCTAATAAATCTAAGTTCCATAAACAATTTAAAAACAAATAAAATGGGAAGGGGAAAAAAATTCAGGTACCAGTTCCTAAAGTTATGTAGTGGTTATAGTACAGAAAAAAATAAATGGCAAGGCTTCAAATAGACAAGCGATGGCTGGTTCTGAAGAAGGTAATACGATGCACAAATTCGGTGAGGTTGTTGCTCTTATTTTGCTATTCCCACCTCCATGCTTGGCAATGTAGTTAAGACACTGGGTTTGTTGGCTGAAAAACCAGCAGCTCAAGTTCAAGACCCAACGTCACATGAGGGAATGAGCTCCTGTTACTTGCCCCAGCTCCTGCCAACCTAGCAATTCGAAAGCATGTAAATGTGAGTAGATAAATAGGTACCATTTTGGTGGGAAGGTAACAGCCCTCCGTGCTATCATTCTGGCCACATGACCGCACAAATGTCTTTGGACAGCACTGGCTCAATGGCCTTGAAATGGAGATCAATCGGCAATGACTAGTGGAGTAATAATTGCAGGGACTCTTTTATCTTTACCCTCCCCCCCCTTGCTCAGAGATGAGAAGGGTTTTGAGAAATACATTAAATATTACCTGCTTTGAAATCTTATTTTGCAGAGAGAAAGGTCAGCTACTGAAGAAGAAAGTCTTTGTCCCTCAACAGTCATTGTATGAGTAAGTATATCTGGCCATGGTATGAATGAGACTTAGTCAGAGGGACAATGGGCAAAGTAGCCAGATCTCTAAGGCCTTAGGTTCCAAAGGTGACCTGGGGCAAATAACTGATATTCCACTGTTGATGTAGAACAAGAGCTGGAAACAGCCCAATAAGGACTGAGCATGCTCCATAGCCACACAATGCTGAGACTGGTGGGTGCAGGGAGAGTGTACAAACAATAGATACTGTGGATTGGAAACGGAATGAAGTATGTTTTAAAGCAGGACTTTTCAACCAGTGGTACGAGTACCACCTGTGGTACATTGGTACCTGGCAGGTGGTACGCGACCATCCTAGAAAAATGGTAGCAGGGGAAGGGAATTAGCTGAACCAGTGGCAGCACCGCACAAGCCTGAGCAAGAGATGTCTGGAGCTGCAGGGCTGTCAGGACTCAGTGGAAGCACCAGGATCAGTGCCAGGCTCCAGCTGTCCAATGATCTTCAGCTGCCCATTTCCCCCACCCTCTATTGCTTAGTTGCTGGCAATTTGTCTTTCTTTGACAGCACGCTCATGGAAGTGGAAGATTTCTGCCCAATCCGACACATATTTGTGGCCATGCTCTGTATCTTTGTGCTCAAACAAATCATTGGGGATTCCATCGACGAAGGACGGTATGATCCAGAAGAGAGGGCAGGCGGTGGTGGAAGGGCTATGATGTATACTAATTCTGGGGTGAATATGGGGATAGGATGCTATTTGTTTTGTGTGAAGGGACACAGTAATTACCTTAAGAACTTATTTACCTAATCTTTTCAACTTAGATTCCATCAACGGTTTGGCAACCTTCTGCGAGTCCCCGGACCCTGCTGCTTCTTCTCCCAGGTGTCACTGTTCATCTACTTGCTACAAAGGAAATGGAATTTGTTCCTCTCCTTGTCTTTCCACTCTTGTTGAGCAGTACCCCTTGGGACTCTCCTATGCCTGCCTAGAAATTAAGTCTAACTGAGGAATGCCCCTTTGCTAGGCACCCAAACACCGTTCTCTATCCTAGTAGCCTGCTTACACAGTTCACTTCTTCTACCCTCATTCTGAATGAAACTTGTTACCTTTTGGATCTTTCTGTACCGGTGTTTGTGGCTGAACATATATGTTGTGTCACATAGTAGTAGTAGTAGTAGTAGTAGTAGTAGTAGTAGTAGTAGTAGAAGTAGTAGTAGAAGTAGTAGTAGTAAAGTTGGAAGGGACCTTGGAGGTCATCTAGTCCAACCCCCTGCTCAGGCAGGAAGCCCTATACCATTTCGGACATATGGCTGTCCAGTCTCCTCTTAAAAATTTCCAGTGTTGGAGCATTCACCACTTCTGGAGGCAGGTTGTTCCACTGGTTAATTGTTCTAACTGTCAGGAGGTTTCTCCTTACTTCTAGGTTGCTTCTCTCCTTGATTAGTTTCCATCCATTGCTTCTTGTCCTGCCTTCAGACATTTTGGAAAATAGCTTGACTCCCTCTTCTTTGTGGCAGCCCCTGAGATATTGGAACACTGCTATCATGTCCCCCCTCGTACTTTTCTTCATTAAACTAGACACACCTAATTCCAGCAACTGTTCCTTATATGTTTTAGCCTCCAGTTCCCTACTCATTTTTGTTGCTCTTCTCTGTACTCTTTCTAGAATCTCAACATCTTTTTTACATTGTGGTGACCAAAAGTGGATGCAGTATTCCAAGTGTGGCCTTACCAAGGCATTGTAAATTGGTATTAATACTTCACGTGATCTTGATTCTATCCCTCTGTTAATGCAGCCTAGCACTGTGTTGGCTTTGTTGGCAGCTGCAGCACACTGCTGGCTCATATTTAAGTGACTGTCAACTAGGACTCCGAGATCCCTCTCACAGTTACTACTATTGAGCAAGATACCCCGTATACTATACCTGTACATTTGGTTTTTCTTGCCTAAATGTAGAACCTTATTTTTTTCACCATTGAATTTCATTTTGTTAGATAGCGGCACCCAGTGTTCTAGCCTGTCCAGATCCTCCTGTATCTTAAGACTGTCTTCTGGAGTGTTGGCTATTCCTGCCAGCCAGCTTGGTGTCATCTGCAAATTTGATGAGTTCCCCATCTATCCCCTCATCCAAATCGTTGATGAAGATGTTGAAGAGCACTGGGCCCAGAATAGAGCCCTGGGGCACCCCACTATACACTTCCCTCCATGTAGATACGGTTCCATTGAGGACCACACGCTGAGTACGGCCGGTCAGCCAGCTATGAATCCATCTGGTGGTGATGCTGTCTAACCCACATTTTTCTATCTTATCAAGTAGTAGGTAATGATCTACTTTATCAAATGCCTTACTGAAGTCCAAGTAAATTATATCCACAGCATTCCTCTGGTCCACTAAATTTGTCACTTGGTTAAAGAATGCAATAAGATTTGTCTGGCATGGACTTCCGGTGGTTAAGGCGGTGGAGATGGCGGCTACTTTGTAGCCGTCCTCCTGAGATGGTGTTAGATCCGCGGAGCACAGCGTTCATCAGCTGGCCCGCGGCTCGCAATCCTCTTCCCGGGCGAAGGGAAGGGGTCGAGATCGCATGAATAGAGGTAGAACCTCTTAACCTTCCCTGGATTTTTATTTTAGGGGGGTAGAAAGAGTGCTCCCTCGGAGTTCATTGCCTTCTCCGCCTCTCAGCTGTCTTTGTTTCTTCGGAAACAAAGCGAAACACCGCTACCATCTCCGTATTTAAAGTAACCGTGAGTAATTTTAAACCGGACAGAACTGTTTAAAGGACTTTATTTATAGTTTAGCTTTATTTTATTTTTTTTTTAGTTCACTTAGTTTATTTAGTATGTGCTGATTTTTTTTTATTTTTTGAGCTTTCTTTTTTTTTTCTCGCGGGCGGAAAAGTGAGAGTGAAAGTAAAATGGCGTTTTGAAAGTTTTTCTTTTGAAAGACGGACTGGCTGAATTATTGCTTAATACTGTTTTCTTTTTTAAGTTTTTTTTTTATCTTCTGGGAGTTTTCTAAATTGATTCTATTTTATTCTATTTTATTTTATTTTTAATCTTTTGGATTTTTTATTTTTTACTGGTATTTTTATGAAGAAAGGAAGATAAATTAAAATGGCTTCAAAACGACAACCAGCCACTACAGCTCCTAAGGTAATCTCTTCTCCTGTTACTTCTACTGGGCAACAACAACTTAAAATAATACCCTCAGTGCAGCAACCTAAAACTACTCCACCTTCACCTCCCCCATCTGGTACATCAGCACAAGACATTAAAGAAATAATGGTAAATGCTGTGTCACAGTTTAGGGAGGAAATGAAGCAATTGTTGGAACAGAATAAATCTGAAAGTAAGGAAGAAATGAAGCAAGAGATGAAGGAACTTTTAGAACAGAATAATACTATTTTGAGGGATGATATACTTTTAGCTTTATCTGGAGTGGCCTCAGTGGTCGTGAAGCTGGACTCTAGAGTGGAGGAAATTGAAGAAACAGTAGAACTTTTGGATTATAAATTCCAAGATATGGAGAAAAAAGTGGAAGCTTCACAAGATGATATTCTTATGTTCCAGTATAGACAGATGGAATATGCTTTGAGAATAAGAGGCCTGAAAGAAGATAAAACCCAAGACTTGATGGAAATGGTGATTAATGACTTGGCTGTTATTTTGAACATAGATAAAGATGAATTACGTGGGGAAGTGGAAAGAATTTATAGAGTTAATTCTTGGATTGCAAAACAGAAGAATCTGCCTAGAGATGTGATGATATATTTTGCTAAGAAGTCTTTGCGAAACCAGATTTTGCAAATTTTCTACAACAAAAGATTCCAGATTGCTGCCCAAGATATTATTATATTAAAGGAAATTCCACCTAAAATTTTAAGAAGCAGAAAAGATTTTGCTTTTTTAGCAAATGAACTTAAAGCAAGACTGATGCCATTTAGATGGGAGATTCCGATGGGTATTGTCCTGAGCCATGCGGGGACACGTTACAGACTTAATACAGTTGCTAAAGCTAAGGATTTTTACAAAACGGTCCTGGGTGCAGGCTCACCTCTGCCCATGATGCACAAAGTCTTGAGTGATAAAGAGATGGAACAGAAACCTGAAGGTACAGGTGTGATGACTGCTGGACAGGTGGTATGGATGTCCCAAGCAGAGGTTAAAGAACAGAGAATGACCCGTGCAGCACATAAACGCAAAGAAAAAGAACAACAGAAAAAAGAAAAAGAAATTAAAGAATCTACTCAGCAAATTGTCTCAATGCCGGTGGGAGGAGCAAGACCCAAAAGCTCTGCAACATACTCTTCAGTAGCAGAATTTGAGGGGATCTTCTCCAGGCTCAAGGCCAAGGGAGATGGCAAAGCTCCTGACCTGGAATGTTAATGGATTAAATATTCCTCAAAAGAGAAAAAAAATCTACCATTATTTAAAGCAACACAACAATGATATTATCTGTTTGCAAGAAACTCATATTACATCTAAAGACCAAAAATATTTAAACAATCCTCGTTTGGGATCTCATTTTGTATCTCCCGCCCCTGGGAAAAAAGGGGGTGTGGTAATCTATGTTAAGAAGAATTTATCTGCTATCCTGTTAGAATCAGATCCTCATGGAAGATATGTTATGCTTGAACTTGGTTTATATGGCAAGAAAATTCTTATCGTGGGGCTGTATGCACCAAACCAGCAACAGGAGCAATTCTACAGGTTGCTACATCAGAAAATAACCTTGTTGGACTATAGATCTGTGATTTTAATGGGAGACTGGAATGGTGTCTTAGATATACAAAAGGATAAAAAAGGCTCTTCTACTTTTTTTAAACAGGCTAAGCTACCTAAAGCCTTCTTTGACATGAAAGAAGATTGGGAATTGAGAGACTATTGGCGTGAACGTAACCAGGAAGAAAGGGACTTTACCTTCTTCTCAGATAGACACCAATCTTTCTCAAGAATTGATTTTTTTTTGATTACAACAGATTTATACAACAGGGTGAAGAATGTAAAAATTTTTCCTAGGACATTGTCTGATCATAGTCCAGTTTGGATGGAACTGTTTGCTGAGAAAGAAGACAGGAGATCCTGGAGGGTGAATGAGAATTTATTTAAACAAGAAAAAAATGTCCATAAACTAAAGGAATGTTTAAAGGAATATTTTGCTTTAAATATGAATAAGGGAACATCAATGTCAATGGTGTGGGATGCAAGTAAAGCTTTTATGCGTGGTATTTTGATAAAAATGAATAACTTGCATAGACAGAAACAGATTCAGAAACGTAAAGATTTAGAAGAGGAGATTAAATTAAAAGAGAAACTCCTAATTTCAAATCCTTTAGATGAAAAGGTGAAAGGAGCTATAAAACTGTTAAAAACACAATTTAACATGTTGATGGCTGATCAAGCTGCAACCAATTTACTATTTATGAAACAAAATACATTTTGTAATGCTAATAAACCAGGGAGATGGTTGGCTTATCAGTTAAGAAAGAAACAGAAACAGAGGAATATAGATAAAATAAATTATAATGGTAAATTGGTTTATCAGAAAGAATTGATTAAGAAATCTTTTTTAGAATACTACCAAAAATTATACAAGAGTACTAATATTCAAACTACAGATATAAACAATTATTTAGGTAAAGTTAATTTTCCTAAATTAACAGAAGATCAGGAAAAAGAGATTAATGGTTTAATTACTAAGGAAGAAATTGTTACAGCTATTAAACAATTGAAATTGGGCAAAGCGCCGGGTACGGATGGGTTGACATCTATTTATTATAAAACTCTAGTAGAAGAGATGACTCAACCGTTGTGTGAATTGTTTAATAACTTATTACAGGGGTTAGAGATCCCTCCATCTTGGCGTAATGCATTTATATCACT